AGCTGTCCTCATGTCTGGGCCATGGCAGAAGAACTGGGAATCACGTACCTCAAAGGTCAAGTGTGCCTTGCCGACTCTCGTACCATTCTATCGAGTGTGAGCATTGTGTCATTGCTGGCCTTCATGTCCATGTGGACGATAGTTGAAGTATCTTGGACCACAGCGTACAACATGTTGTGTTGCAAAAGAAGGAGTCGTCACTGAGGAACAGCCAGTCATTGTACAGAACAGTACGTCGTCGGGCACGTGCGATTGGGAACGAACTATGCGAGGCAGGCAGTGGGATAAATAAATCCGGCCCGAGAGCTTGTCCTTACTCTTTGCGCGGCGGGGTGTGAGGAAGATTTAGGACCGAAACTTTACGATGAAAGGGTACAAAGGAGCGTACGTGTGCTAGCGTTCGTTTCCAGAGAGATCATGTGGATTGTGTTAGAATGAGAAAAAGCTGATGAATGTTACCATAAATCGTTCGCGAGTCGAGACGAGTCGAGTGATGATGTTTACAATAATATTTACTTACGGTGGGGTTTTCTAGAAAGGACCGGGCAAACGAACTAAAAGTCATAAGATTCTTTCCAGGCAGGCAACAAGAGCTGAGCCATCCAACTAAAAGAACTAATTTTGACGCTGACCACACTCAGCCATCTATTCCACCGGTACTACTTTACCAGTAGCTAGCCAGTGACGGCAACAACAACATCATATCAATATGAATGGAGTTCAAAAGGGCCCTGATGTACCGTAGTCTGGATGGAGCAATGCTTGCCAATACGCAACCCTTCCATGGACCCGTCTATTCAATTGTACCCAGCCTCCAGATAGCCAACCAACATGGCGGCCCCATCACCAGCCAGTCCCTCCCTGTGCACCCCATGATGACCCTTGTCGAAGCAACCGTTTATGATTGAAGATTTCAATCCTCCGCTGGCGGCAACAATGTCATTTGCATATCTTGCTCGGTCATGATTCCTCCTCGTTCCACATATGCTTGAAAGGCTTGTATTCTTGGTTTCCAGATTGGTTGCCTGGTTGCTTTGGGTGGATTGTCGGGTCGGCATCCATGGTATATCTGACTTGTTTTTTCTTTTTGGGTTGCTGTTGTTGTTGTGCCGTAGAGCGCAATATGCAGCTGCATGGCCGTGAGCATTGTTCTTTTGTTCCACGACGACTCCTTCATCTCGATTGGTGTCTCGGGTCCGGTATTGTCCCACGCGTCGATAATTCTTGTTGGGTAAATGATGTACCGTCAGTGCCCCAAAGTTGTCGAGCGGCAGTACCTGTTGGACCGCACATCCGAATTTGTTTCCGTACAATTGTTGGGAACTCATCCAAACGCGTTGTGTCCCAAAGAGAGGTTGGGATGGATTTTTCTTTTGTCCGGGTCGATTGGACGCCACATCAAATTGACATCGATCTTTCCACGCTTTGAGGAGGGCGCGTGTGGCCAAGAACATGCCCTGATGATGATTTTTCATGTGCACATACTTGCCTGCCAAAGGATGCTGTGGCACGGCATCCATGGCATTGGGTACAATGGGTGGTTTGAAACTGGAATGTTCCCAATAGACGCGCGTGACATTTTCCGTGGCGGCGCGTGTGGAATCGTCAATGACCATGTTGGCGGGGAAATTGTACTCGTATCGGACAATGCCCACATTGAAATCGGCCGGTTGGTATTGTTTGTGTCCTTCCTCCTGATGACTGATGAGCTGTTCAATCTTGTTTGTTTCTTGCAAGTAGGTTGCGACTGTTCGGGGTGTGACTCTCTGATCGTCTTCTGTGTAAATGAATAGATCGTACTCTTCCAAATGCGTGTAAAAGAGTTTTCGGTGACAATCGACGAGATGCAATCGAATGCGTGGCAATTTGAGCACAATGTCCATGGTAAACTGGGAACAGGGGAATCGGGTCTGTAGCAGATCCAACAAGGGCACCGGCCAGGCCACAGTGGTGTGGATGACCACCTTGACAATGGCGCCACTCACACACAAATCGTGATAGCCATCCAGTACTTCTTCCAAATGCGGCAATTGAGAAAAATCATACGCGGCAATCGCCACCAGGATCTTGACATTCAACAGACTACTACTACTACTAGTTCTACTAGTACTACTATCGTCACCCAGTAAGGCACGGTGGTGATTTGGACGCTCTTGAAGTGTGTGGACTTTTACGTGTAGTTCATGCTGTTGCTGCTGACAGCACAGAGCAACAAACGCCAACAGATTGGCAACCAACAAAACTGATATAAGCACATTTCCAAATGAAGAGGAGGTCCTGCATGTACTAGTACTGGATGTGGGGGGCCGAGGCAACAACATCTTTGGTTTGGTCTTGTGTGTGTGTTGTGGTTGATATCATGATCAGGTTGTGGTTGGGGAGAGAAGAGAGAAACAAGGATGTTTCTAAAGTTTGACCAATCCACTGGCTTACCTAAACCCCAAATCATGGAAGTGGTACCAAAGTTTGTTAAATCCTTGAGTGGTGTGGAGATGCACGCTTCTTTGGTTTTGTGCCACCTTGGTGTGATGTTGCCAAATAAGTGTGCGAAAGATCTTTGCTGTTGCAAGTTCATCATCCAGTTTCAGACTTGTTTAGGTTTTGTACCACAACTACATGTGCTTCCCTCCAAAATATCTTTACCACTTCTTTCCTTCCAAGATCTCTTCCCTCCAAGAACAAAACAAAAGGAGAGAAGCTCGAATACATAAGCAAAGGCGAGAAGACATCATGGACAAGCCAAGTTCGATGCCTCCCCAACAAAGCCTACTAGAAGATGGCACACAGGACCAGGACGGAAACGATGCCGGTAGTGGCACTACCATTCCAGTGGCAGATGCCACTCCTGTTGCTGCCGGTCAGACTACCACTACCGCTGATGCTCCGCTTGTGACTGTACAGCTCATTCCAGATTCTATGCCATCCGAGAATACCCGTACTAGTACGTGTACCACTAGTACACAACTGGAAGACGAAGGCGGAAATACCACAAGAAATAATGACGCTCCCGGTAATATCATTACTACCGCTAGCAGCGTTCGAGCAGAAGACAGAAATAATGAAGAACCGGAAACAGTCGATAACCACACCAACAACACGAACACCAACAACAACCATACCGGTAGCAATATTACCACATGTACTAACCAACCAGAATCCGTTCTACCAGTTCCCGAATCCCCAGCGGGAGGAGTTTGGACTCCTACCTTGATTCACCTCAAGACCGAGGCGGTACACGAACACGATTCTCAAGCGCAACCATCACCATCCACCATGGTAACGGCACCCATGCCACATCAAGACGCAGACATTGAAGCACCAACAACGACAAAGCAGCAAAGTGTCGACAATCGACAGTTTGCATTGAGGAACTCAAGGCTCAAATTGATGGCTTTGGTCCTCCTTGCCGTGGGAATTGCTGTGGCGATTGCCATCTTTGCTGCGGGAAGTAGTGGCAACAGTGGGAACGATCGTGGAGGGGTACAAAGTGTAGCACGCGGAGTGCCTCTTGGTGTCGATACCATGGCGCCTTCTACAGGTGGCGTCGCCGTATCCGTTACTCCATCTACGAATGCTCCAACTACTACGACAGAGCCCACAACCAATGAACCAACGACAACACAACCAGCTACATCTCAACCTTCTCTAAATCCCACCACTCCAGCGACATCTTCAACTGTTGCAAGCACAGGATCGGACACAGTGGAGTTGTTTGGTACACCCTACCCCGTTGCCACCACGTTTGCATTGAAGAGAGCAAGTAGTGGCAGTGGCGGCGAAGAAACCACTATTCCCACCGAGATTGCCTTGCTGACGGCGCTGACTTCCTTGGGTTTGTCGGAAATCAGCTTGGCTGGAAACGTGCCCTCGGAGCTTGGATTGTTGACCGCATTGACTCGCTTGGACCTGAGTGGCAACAACCTCAGCGGGAGCATTCCAACAGAGATAGGCTTGTTGACACGGTTGGCCAATTTATTCTTGCAGGGCAACCACAAGTTGTCGGGGACGGTGCCCAGCAATCTCTGTTTCAACCAAGCTTTGTATCGGGTAAATGTGGCTTGTGACATCGATCGTCGCCATCTGGTGGAATGTACGTGCGATGGATGTCGATGCGGCTCGACTGCCGAAACTGTCAGGCTTTTTGGCACAATCTACGATGTTGCCACTACCACCAAACTTGCTCTGGGGAATCTGGGCTTTACAGGAACCATTTCCACAGAAGCTGGGAAATTGACAGAGTTGACTTTTTTGAGCTTGGATAGCAACCAGTTTAGCGGGACGATTCCATCAGAGCTTGGGTTGTTAACATCCTTGTCTTTGTTGAGCTTGGGTGGAAACCGCTTGACTGGGAACATTCCGACAGAACTTGCATACATGACATCGTTGACTACGTTGAATTTGCACACCAATCAGTTGAGCGGAAACATCCCTTCTGAGATTGGAATGATGACTGCCTTAACGACGTTGGACATGACTCTGGCCAACAGCTTGAGTGGAACCCTGCCCTCTGAGCTTGGACTATTAACCAAGCTCAGTGCTCTGGTCCTGATCCTGAACAGCTTGAGTGGAAATCTGCCCTCGGAGCTTGGAATGTTGACTGATTTGGCTCAGTTGAATTTTTGGGGAAACCAGTTGAGTGGTAGTATTCCAACTGAGGTTGGATTGCTGGAATCGTTGTCCTTGTTTTACTTGAATGAAAATGAACTGACTGGCAGCGTGCCTGCCGGTCTTTGTTCCAACTTGGATTTGAGACGGATCCATGTAGATTGCATTCCAGATCCGTTTCCAGTGGAATGTCCATGCGATGAATGTAAATGTTATTAGTCACTGCATTAATTAGTAAATTGTGCTCCTATGTACCTTTTTGTGCTATTGTGCTCCTGCATTAATTTAAACAACTGCATTCCCAAGGGCTGTTCTAGCTAGCCCGCTGAATTGTTGTTTTGATTATGGTTGTGGTGGTGGTTTGAAAGCATTCACAGAGCGGACGAGACGCAACCTTCCCCATAACTGTACATCTGCCTGTACTCTACTTGGTGAAGACAGGTCTCCTAATCGCCGCCTGTACCATGATGTGGAGCTCAACTATGCATATGCATACCAGTACTCTAAACCCCCCTCATAACCTATGTTGATATATTCTAATTTAGTGCCGTTCATTGTGAGATCCGGGGCAGTCATTGTCACGAAGCCACTGGATCACTTTGCTATTGTTGCCTCTTCTCGCAGCTGCTGCAAATGTTTCTGCATTCCAAGGACACCCATTTTCACGAGCCCACTTTAAAATTTCGAAATGTCCACTACCAGCAGCACCTGAGCATGTCCCTTCATTCCACGGACAACCATTTTCACGAGCCCACTTTAGAATTTCAAAATGTCCATTCTCAGCAGAAGCGGCGCATGTGTTTGCATCCCATTGACAACCATCTTCACGAGCCCTCTTTAGAATTTCCAAATGTCCATATTTAGCAGCAATCGAGCATGTGTTTGCATCCCATGGACAACCATTGTCACGAGCCCACTTGAAAATTTCCAAATGTCCACGTTCAAAAGCACTCCAGGATGTGTGTACATCCCATGGACAACCATTTCACGAGCCCAAATCAAGACTTCCAAATGTCCATTTTGAGCAGCACCTGAACATGTCAATTCATTCCATGGACAATGCACTACGCTAAAAGCTAGTGTAAAGATCTTTCGAGTGTTTTGAGTTTGAGAGAATGAAAGTTATGAGAGAGATTAGAAAGCTACGAAAACTAATCCATGAGAGAGATCGTTGTGAAGCTCATTGAAGTTGGTCTCCCGCGGGAGGCCTCGAAGTGTGATATCGTAGGTTATGGCAATAACTCTACGTACTCCACGGTCCATTTCCGGAACACGTGGAAACTTCAGCTAGTAGCTGTCTAGTAGCGTGGAAGCTTTCCACGCCGGCTAAATATCTAGAGCGATGTTTCATCGACAACCTAGTATGACTAGCAGTCATGAGAACCCTGTCTCAATAACTATTCGCGAAGGACTACGTCATGAGTCGAACTCAAACCCTATCTAGGATCGAGGCGGGAATAAGGCTAAGAGCCGTGTATTGCATTCGCCCCCTGACAAGGGTCACAGAAGGCACGACATCAGTCGGACAAGGAGAACATATGAATTAAAGTGCGGGGCACTCTCCGGAGATTGGATGTAGACATGTGCGTCGCACGATGGCAATCCTACAAGGGGATCAGGCCTTGTATGGGTGTAAATACCTTATGTTCCAAGTCTGGTAGACTGTGCCGCCATTGGCGGTAGCATGTCGGAGCCGTACAGTGCCATTGTTATTGACTCGGTCCATATTGTAAGGACCTTTGTACTTTGGCTGACCGTACTTGCGGTGCTGATACTGTTGAAACCTCACAGTATCGTTGACATTGTATTGATGAGGGACACGCGTCGCGTTTTCCTTATCAGTGTGTTTCTGGATGAGTCGTTGGCGACGTTCTTTGATGTGTTTCCAGTTTACTTCGAAACGGACGTTGTGAATCGCGTCACGATTGAACACGTGTGGTAATGAACTTGCGACGAAGTCCATATTCATCCCGGAGTGTCTTCTCGACTTCTGCGCGGAACTCACGTTCGCTATCCATGATAACCTCAGCAGGCCATGGATACTGGGTGAGCCACGTCTGTTCTAGAACGATGGCTACTTCGTCTGCTGCATTGGAGCAGATCTCGGCATCTCGAACCATTCGGTTACGGGATCAATCATTGTCAAGCAATGAAATGGACAGGGAATCCTTTTTCTTGGAATCCCCGACGTTGTATGTACATGTGATCGTCTGATCCATATGTCTCGATAGTAGTTCACTAGTCCAATGAATCTACCAAGTTTCTTCCTGTTCGTAGGAGGAGCGATGTTCTGGATCGCATCTATTTTCTTGGTTACGGGTTGGATTCCTTCTCAAGTTAATCCAGTAGCTCAGATACTCAAGTTCTCTTCTTTCGAAGAAGGACTTGGTAGCATTGATCTTAAGTCCGGCTTCTCGAAGCCTTTAGGAGAACTTCATCTAACTATTCAACGTGATCTACTAGATCGCCGTTAGTTAGGATGAGTTGATCATCAATGTATGCACGGACATTTTCCAAGTCGTGCATGAGTGTTCCCATCTTCCTTTGGAAGATGTCGGGACTATTGCATAGGCCCATCGGTACTCGTTGGTATTCGTATTTCCTGAATCCGTCTAGATTCAGTAGCATGTCTTGTATCCTTGGGATCGGACAAGGTTTGTGCTCAATCCTTGTGTTCAGTTCCCGGACGTCAGAGATGAACCGTGTAGATCCATTCTTTTTGGGAATGATAAATGTTGGTGTCGTCCACTCGGAACGGTTTACCTTCGTAAGTGCTCCTGCGTCGCGGAGACGTTTGACCTCTGTCTTAAGAGTGTTGGTATGGACACGTGGAGTAGGGTAAGCCCTAGCGTGATAGGTTTAGCGTCAGGACGAAGTTCTACTTCGTAGACGTTCATTTGTTGCTTTCCTAAAGTACCTTCGAATTGGTCGGAGCACTTGGTTAATAAGGTATGAAGCGGTTCCTGCTCTTCCTTATTTACCTGTTTTGACTCTGGCATATCTGCCTTAAGTCAGGTTGTTCGTATTTCGCGTCAAGAGTCCTCTTGAGACGATCTGTACTGTTGCTGACAGCTGTAGGATCATTGAACTTGATTCTTAGATCGGAGAGAATGTCTCGACCTATGATCATGTCATACGCCCCCAAGTTCTGGTGGCGTGCAAGTTCCATTCGATAATTCTATCATCGTGGAACTCAGGAGTCATAGTGCACCTTACACTTCGTGCTGGGGTTTAATTCTTTTACAGATAGTGTTTGGACGCCCCCATGATCCTTCATGCTTAATCTCTTAGCATGAATTTGGGTAATCAAGGTTCCGGATGCTTCTGTATCCAGTAAGCAACGGAGTGTAACGGGTTTTTGTTTCCCTTCATCTCGTCTGTTAAATCTAACATAGACGATAGTTTTGAGGTCTATTGTCTTGCGACGTTGACGAGCCGGAAAGGTTAACATGGTGGATAGATCGTCAGAATCCAGTTGAGCAGTTTCTAGGCGAATCATCTAATTTGCCTTAGACTTCATCAGTTGCAAACAATTCTGTTTACTAGTTAGTGAGATTCTCCATCTGAAAGGATTGAAGTCGAAGTCGGCAAGAGCCTTGTCGACTGCAGCCATTTCCTGTCCATCATGTTGAGGGACCCGACAGAGGAGTCATCCTCGTTGTCAGAGTCGTCTTGACTTGCGTTTGAACTATGGTTGCATTCGCTTTTCTTCTTGCGATCCGCCTTGACCGAGCGTGGAGACTTTCTTCATAAGGACCGAAAGTTCCTTCTTGGTGTAGGACTTGGCGTCGTCAGACTTGCGTTTCCAAGTCTTGTTTTGTTGTACGCTGGCTTGCAATCGTTGTCAGACGAGGACTTGGCTTTAAGTTTCTTCAGAGTCATGAATACAGCAGTATTGTGAGTGCTGGACTCGTGGTAATCACACACCTTTTCTTCGCTCTTGGAAGGAATGGTCGTTGTTGCGAGTAGACTTGTACTTCTTGCTGTTGTTCTTCTTCGAAGGAACTTGCTTGGCATCACTGCCTTTGTCAAAGTCTTCAGCGGATTCCATGCGCTCACAGAATCCAATGAGCGCTGTCATCTCGGCAGTGAAAGGATCGAAGTCGTGTTCGTCCATCTTGCGCATCCAGGAACGAGGAATCCATGACAGATGATGTCGATGAATTCGTCCTGGTTCAACTGTTGATTGGCACCAAAAGGTGGCAAACGTGGAAGCTCATCGGTATTCATCCGAGTGAGGTTGTTGATGTAGGCGCGAGTTGTCATTTCGCTAGGCTTACGCATCTTGCGACGCATGAAGCGTTTTCTGTTTTTCGAGAGCCTTGTAAGGGCAGGCTGCTTCGATACCGCGTTGATTCCAAAGGTGATTTCAGCATCGCTTAGAGCGGGTTCCGCTGCACCGTCCCATGCGGCTTGGACACGAGCTTGGAATTGGACTTCGTTTCTCCAGAAGTCACATCGCGTGGAGGAATTGCGTTCACAGCAATTTCGTAGGGCGTTGATGACACACTGCACGATGGCCTGCACACCCAGCTTCGTAGGCACTCTTCGCAGAGGTGGAAGTCATCTCCTTGAGAAGGCGATGTTTGTCGTCGCATTGGCAAGGTTGAGTCCAACGAAGACCTTCTCCATATTCGTAGCCCACTTGATGGTCTACGCGGCAGTGTTGGAACCATTGATGATGGCTACCTTGAAGGTATATTTGGCACTGTTTGCATCTGGAGGAACGGTGCGAAGTTTGTAGGTGGTGCACGAGTATCGTCGATCTCGCTTCTTCGTCGTTGTCCACGAGAGGAAGAATGGGTTTGTCACGCAACTGTTTCTCGAAGTTGGTGAACGCATGCTTTCCTTGAGCAATCTTCATGGTGAAGGAATAGGTTGAGGGTAGCTGAAAGCTATTGTGTTTGTTAACAAAATGCACTACGCTAAAAGCTAGTGTAAAGATCTTTCGAGTGTTTTGAGTTTGAGAGAATGAAAGTTATGAGAGAGATTAGAAAGCTACGAAAACTAATCCATGAGAGAGATCGTTGTGAAGCTCATTGAAGTTGGTCTCCCGCGGGAGGCCTCGAAGTGTGATATCGTAGGTTATGGCAATAACTCTACGTACTCCATGGTCCATTTCCGGAACACGTGGAAACTTCAGCTAGTAGCTGTCTAGTAGCGTGGAAGCTTTCCACGCCGGCTAAATATCTAGAGCGATGTTTCATCGACAACCTAGTATGACTAGCAGTCATGAGAACCCTGTCTCAATAACTATTCGCGAAGGACTACGTCATGAGTCGAACTCAAACCCTATCTAGGATCGAGTCGCGAATAAGGCTAAGAGCCGTGTATTGCAACAACCATTTTCGCGAGCCCAAATCAAGACTTCCAAATGTCCCGCTAGAGCAGCCCGCCAGCATATGTAAGCATTCCATGGACATCCATTTTCACGAGCCCATTTCAAGATTTCCAAATGTCCAAATTGAGCGGCATGTTGACATGTCAATTCATCCCATGGACAACCATTTTCATGAGCCCACTTTAGAACTTCAAGATGTCCATTTTGAGCAGCACTTGAACATGTCCCTTCAGTCCACGGACAACCATTTTCACGAGCCCACTTCAAGAATTCCAATTGTCCAAATCGAGCAGCCCACCCACATGTGTCTGCATCCCATGGACAAACCATTTTCATGAGCCCACTTTAAAACTGCCAAATGTCCCCATTGCGCCACATATTGACATGTCAATTCATCCCATGGACAACCATTTTCACGAGCCCACTTTATTAAGATTTCAAGATTTCCATTTGTTGCAGCCAAAGTACATGTCCATGCATCCCACGGATAACCATTGGCACGAGCCCACTTTAAAACTTCAAAATGTCCACCTCGAGCAGCGGAGGAGCATGTGTTTGCATCCCATGGACAACCATTTTCATGAGCCCACTGTAGCATTTCAAAATGTCCTCTCCCAGCAGCGGCTGTGTATACCCCTTCATTCCACAGACAACCATTTTCGTGAGCCCAAATCAAGAGTTCCAAATGTCCGTTTTCAGCAGCCCACCCGCATGTTGATGAATGCCACGGACAACCATTTTGACGAGCCCACTTCAAAATTTCCAAATGTCCACCTTGAGCAGCCCACCCACATGTGCTTGCATCCCATGGACAACCATTTGCACGAGCCCACTTCAAAATTTCCAAGTGTCCATTTTTAGCAGCCCAAGCACATGTCGATGCATCCCATGGACAACCATTTGCATGCAGCCATTGCAGCATTTCCAGCTGCCCATTTACGGCAGCTTTTTCGGATGTTTTGACGATGTCCACGCTCCATGGGAATCCTTTTTGTCGTGCCCACTGCATGACAGTACAGTCAACACTCACTAAAGTTCCACCCCCCAGCATTAAGAAAAAAACGGAACTTAGCTGAATTACGGAACTTTAGATCTTTGGAGCCCCCTATCGGCCCGTTCGTGGTCTTAGGACCCATTTGGGTGGTTCCTGTCATATTCTATTGTTATTGGGGGTAAAAGGAACCAATCTTTCATAGGGTGGAACCACATCGCTTCTACATATAGTGCCTCTATTGTCGACTAGTTGTGTTACTACTAGCAAATGCTAGTAAAACGTGCTCTTTGGGCTTTGTCGAGTACCTGAGGGTGTCTGGCATGAAAGAGAAAGTTGAACTAACTTTTCATATGTATATTTAAAGAAAAATGTGACTGTTTCAAACTGCCAGCCCAGCCTCAAACAGCCACAAAACCCATTCACCAGTCAGTCATGTTCAGTCATGAGAACTAGTGACTGAGGGGGGCAGCCCTGAAAAAGTGGAACTTTGTAGAATAACGGAACTTAAAAAAACGGAACTTAAGTGAGTGTTGACTGTAACATTTCCAAGTGCGGCAATGACATTGCAAACATATTCCCGGTCAGGTCTCTTATTGCTGGAATTGTCCTTGTGCTAGTATTCTGTCCGTGGCAAGTCACCGAATGTACCACTGCAAAGAGTGTCGGTGGTTTCTGCTGGGCGTCGATTAGAAAGAATTCCAGGGTAATCGTTTACCATTCTTGGAGTATTATTGAGGTCAATTTCACAGTACTCTTTGTAGAGTTGATTCATCTTTTTGTTGACAGCTCCTAGAAAAGTGTCCTGTCCAACACCCACAAATGGTAGAATGCCTTGGACCAAAACCAAATCATCAGCAAACAGCAGAGAATCGAAGGGAGGGGACATCTTTTGTTTCTTTATTGTTGTTTGCACTGTTGCTATTGGCGGCAGCAGCACCACCACCACCACGGGTACCAGTACTACCGGTAGTGCCAGTACCTGTACCGGTACCGGTATCAGTAGCAATACTACATGTATCAGAAGACATGATCAACAATGAGATATTATGGGGGCTCGTAGCTTGTATGATCCTATACTAGCTAGCTAGATAGAAGAAAATAAATACTAAATAGATACGTTAAGGAGCGAGGGGGGCGAGGCTAGGCAAAGCAGTGGCTGCGGTGGTGGGTGGCTGGTGTGGTGGGCATACGGGGAGAGCAATGAGGACGCGAGCAGGGCAAAACAAGGAGGGGCAGGGAAGGGGGGTGCATGGAGGATAACCAGGAAGGACAAGGGAGCAAATTAGCGGAAGAGTGCAAGTGCACCATCGGCATCCCAGAGAGAACGACGGTAGCTCATTGTGCCAGCAGGGACACGAGAGCCACGCATGCAGAGGTGGCGGGCCCGAAGAATAGCTAGGCTGAGCCGAGCATTAACGTAGCCACGCACCACTGAGTAAGGGCGATCCCACTTTGCAGCGAGCAAAGCGGAAATAGTGGTGGCTCTCGAGCACTCGAGTTCCCGGCCGCACGCTGCCCTTCCCCTTCCCCTTCCCTTTCCCCCCGTTTCCTCCCCTTTTTAGGGTTCCCCCTTGTCCTCCCCTTTTTGATGCCTCAGGAAGCATGGATGAAAGTGTCATCGCTAATTTCGGTGCGTGGCCGAAAAGGTATCCTTCTGTTTCGTTTCCCGGGGCCACGTTGGATGTTGACAGACAATGGCCGATGCAACTCCACCAGCTGAACAGTAACAGTCTGAAGATCACACAAGTAGTGAGACCTACCACTTCAGTGAAGTGTTGCCGCCAGTTATCCTCACACAAGTGCATTGCAATTCTGAGCACAAACGAGTCCAGTTTGTTTGGTTGTAGCTTATTGAGTGGGTATCATGATGAAAGAACGAAGAATACGGAGAAACCCCATGACAAGTGCCTTGTCACTGTTGATATTGCTTCAGCTGCAATGGGAAGCTCCTTTTTGTTGGGGTTTTCTCGCGTCTCCAAGTTCCACCACCACAAGAAGTCTTAGCAACACCAGAAGAAGCAAACACTCCCTAATGAGCTTGAGCAGCACTGCCACTAGTGAGACAATGACTGAAGTGGCCACAAATGCTGCCGTGGATCTGCCCTTTACGGAATTCTACGATCCTTCTTCCAGTGCCTCTTCTACTAATACTGGAACTCCCGTTGTGATTTTGCATGGTCTGCTGGGATCCAAGCGAAATTTTGCCACCCTGGCCAAATCACTGGGAAATCGATTGGATCTCAAGAGGAGAATTCTTGCTGTGGATCTCAGAAATCATGGTCAGTCAGTCTCAAAAACACCCACTACAATCTATCTGTCTTATCTTATCTCACCTTATCTTATCTTATCTTATCTGTCCTTATCTTATGTTATCTTTTTATAGGAGAACACGGGAAAGCCAACTGGCAAGACGACATGTCGTACACTTCCATGGCCGAGGATGTTGCTACCTTTCTCCAGCAACAAAAACTCGACAAGGTCATTGTAGTGGGACATAGCATGGGAGGGAAAGTAGCTCAGACACTGGCATTGCAACAACCACAGCTAGTCGAAGGATTGGTCGTGCTAGACATGGCACCCGTCACATACTCACCGGAAGAACCCCATTGGCAGGCTGTCACGTCCATTATTCAAACACTCCAATCCATCACTACATCCACAGACGACGGCGAACCACTCACCAAACAAACTGTCGATCGAAAACTACAATCCACCATTCCCGATCCGGCACTACGAGGATTCTGTCTCACCAACTGGGACAATCGAAACAACGAATGGGCCATTCCGGTGGACAAAATTGCACGACAATTGGACGTACTGGCCGGATTCGATATTTCGACACTGGCTACCACGCAGGTCAATGGCGATGCGCCAAAAGAACAAGAACCATTGCAATATCACGGAGATACCTTTTTCATTCACGGTGGACAATCCAAATTCGTACGGTCCGCTCATATGTCAGCTATTGCCGGATACTTTCCCAATCACATGCTCACCACTATTCGAGGCGCGGGACATTGGGTACATGCCGAAGCACCCGACGCTACCATTGCTCTACTCAAACGATATCTCGATCGGTAGCTACCGTAACACGTATCCCCACGGTGTACTATACTTGTTTGGCAGGGAAGCAACCACAAAAAGGATATTAGCGTACCGGTTGCGCAAAGCAGAAATAGACTGTACATATAAAATATTAAGAGTCAACATCTTTATCACAGTAGACTGAATGCGAATGTCCCGATACTACGGTTGCTAGCTAGACGCATCATTTTGCTGTTGACGTAGTTGTGTGCTTTGCTTGCTTCAATGGTTCCTGTAGCCGAAAATTTGAATACATGCAGGTCAAACGAGAATATTTTGCACGAAGCGCAACTTGGAAGGCCAAGATAGATCTTCTCGTAGCTAGCGGTATCTTCCTCCTGAGCAAGGTTGGGCCTCACCATGATCTTCCTGCGCAATGCATGTATATTGTCTGCTCATCCACGACGTGGTTTCGCAGGGAATGCCACTGAAGGAGAGGAAAAGAAAAGCAAGCACCGTACGAGTGGTTTCTGTACATTCGGGGTCTTGATTATATAAAACAAAGAAAGTAATAATAATGGGAATACTATGTGATAGTGTGAGTGAGTGAATCTATTGATTAGAGAAAGTTTCGTACTTGAACAAAGGATGAGGAGAATGCTACTGTATTATTATGGTGCCTGTGGATCTGAATTCGATTGTATAATATATTTGCCTTTACGTGTAACTAATAAGTGTATGTATGTTGCCTTGTTTTGTTTCTTCTTTTTTTGCTGCATAATCTCATGGCCTTTTCTTTGGAAGGGAGGGACGGCGTCTTCTAACCCTTCTCTATGTCTGTCGCAGGAAGGAAGTATCAAAGGTAGTGGTCGGTGGTAGAGCAGAGTTTTTTTTGTGGGTGTGCGGTGCTGTGCTGTGTGTGAACTGGAATCCTTGTGGGTGGTGGTTGAGGAATCTATAGATTCATTGATTGGTGGTGGTGATGGTACAGATAAGTTGGATAGATGATAGATTGGTTTCAGGGAAGTGGAGTGGATATCAATGGAACCCCGAATGATTGATGAGGTGAAACCCTTCGTACCTGTATGACTACGACTAAGGAATTCGATTCAGCGGCAGCAGCTGCCCTGAACTGCTGGAAATGCTCGTTCTTGAACCAAATGGAAAATCTCTTCCATTGGCCATGGGGACACATTCCTGTTGTGCCATTCCAGGCGCGTAGAATCCACAGAGACAGAATTCTGCCAAACAACAGGCATTGGCGACGTTTGCACAATCATTGGTGGTGACACACCTGGTAAAGTCCTTGTACTGAGGATACAAGTTCTCGTACCAGAAGCGGTTGTTTTGTGCCACAGAGCAAACACTGGATGCCACCGTGGGTGCTCGAGTGGTGGGAGCAGGAGTTGGCAGGGGCGTGGGGGTTAATGTTGTGGGCGGTACTGTGGTTGGTGCTGGAGTGGGTTGGGGTGTTGTGGGTGGCTCCGTGTCGGGTGGCAAGGTGTAGGATTCGACCACGACGGGCTCGGAAGTCCATACGGGTCCGGGTGTTGGTGTGGGTGCCGAAGTAGTGGGTGGCAGTGGGGTAGGTTGCGTTGTGGTGGGTGGGAGTGTGACGGGCATGGGTGTGGTTGGTGCTACAGGTGGGCGTGTGGGCAAGAACTCTGCAGGATCTCTTGTTAGCTGATTGCAAATACATGGCAAAGAGGGATAGGAGGTTCCACCGGAATCTTCAATCAACCACCAGTATGATCTGCAACATCCTGATCCAGTGAATCCCGAGCTAACGCAATTTGCAGCGGAAGAGGGATTGATCTTTTGGTTGTTGGTGATGGTGCTCCACTGCACGCACCCTTTGGTTTCGGAAATCCCATTGAACAGCATGAGTCCATCTGCAAAGTGGTTTCCGTTTCCACCATTGTTTTTGTTGTTGTTATTCTTGTTTTTGTTGTTGTTGGCAAAGCTGGTGAACCCCACAAATCCATTAGCGGATCCATCAAAGTCTTCATTCTGGACAGTGTTGAAGTTATTGTTATTGTTGTTGTTATTGTTGTCGTTTTTGTTGTTCTTTCCTCCCTTGTTTTTTCCATTGTCTTTCTTGAGGTCTCTTTCTAGTTGAAGTCGTAGATCCATTTGTTCCATTTCTAGTTCTAGCTCTAGTTGACGTTGTCGCTGATTTTGTTCTTGTTCTTGCTGTTGCGACCTCCTGAGGTTCGAATGTGGAGATTCCAGTGTGTAAGCATCTTCAACCGGCAGTAGTAGATCTTGCTGCTCATGTAGCAATAGGTATTCCTGTGATTCGTCTGCTATCGAATCTGAAGCTGCTACGAATGATGATGGTCCTTTGGATCTGGCACAGAGTGACAGGAAGATAATCCATGCGGTCAGATAGGAGGGGATATACCTTCGTTGCATTATCATCTTGGTGTTTGCTGATGGGTATCTACTGTTTCTTTCTTCCAATGATGAATGCTTCTGTGAAAGCGCTCTCTATTGCATTATTAGTGCAGTTAGTTATCGTTAACTTCTTTCGCGGCTCCGCAATACATGTATGATAGTTAGTTACCGGCACGGTACCGCACCTACTTAGTTACCGGTACGGTATGATAGGTAGAATAGTCGGTTATTAGGTAGAAGGGTGGGAGCCACATTGGAACGCAAACAAAACGGAAATTCCAAAAGAAAATGCTCTGGCGATGCAGAGGCAGCCGGTAGCGGTGGGAGTCGAATGGTACTTAGAAAGGATCTCGATCCACGAATTGATTTGTTAATGGTCGCTTTTCCTGGACGTTGATGCGCCAGCTGTGCTCTGAAACCTCACACAATGACGTCATACAATGACGTCTCTCGCCTGTCCTCCTCCTCTTCTGTTCTTCTTTTTGTTGGACTTGACACCCTCCCCAACAGCAATGTCAAGTCATTCCATTCTTTTCTAATAACTAAAGATCATTCATTTATCCATCTAATAACTTTGTATAAAATGACGAGCACAATGGCGTCCAACGCGGCCTTGTTGTGGCAGGATGTGAATTCAGAGGAGTCCTGGAAGCCGCTGATTTATCCGTTCATCTTTTGGGCGTCCTCGTATCTGTATTGTCAGCTGCCACCAACACGAAGAAGAAGACAGGACAAGACGTTGGAATGGCACGAATGGCACGCACTGCACAACCTGCACAACGCGGGTGCGATTCTTCTGGCTCTAGGATCTCTTTTGCTGCACGACGACACGATCTTGAACGAACGATTCGGCATTCTCTTTAGCTTGTCTTATTTTCTGGTTGATTTGGTCGATACTACCACGCGTCTCGATGGACCGTACATTCTCCATGCCGTCATGGTGTTGGTATTGGCGACCTTCAACTACACCACACCACTGCATCGCCAATTGCGCATGAATTCCAAGGCAGCGCTGCTCGAGACCAGTACTCCCTTTTTGTATCATGCCAAACAAACCCGGAATCCAATTCACTTTTGTCTGTTTGCCATTGTGTTCACGCTCTGCCGCATCATTTGGCTGCCAATCATGATGCTGCAATTAAGAGACCATGACTTGCCATGGAACGATATACGACTCATCATCGTCATGGCTTTCTACGCACTCAATCTATTCTGGTATGCCAAAATACTCAGAATTATCATTACAGAAGGAATCAACTTGATCCAAGCACGCAAGACAAAGACACAGTGAATCCTCTATTAACACATGTACCGGTACATGTACGCTCGACTTACGTACATCAATACAGCGAAACACCAACAGGCTGTGAAACAATGCCAGTTGGGAAACGGCTAGAACACGACAACACTACTGAGCCGACATGCTTTCCTATTTCTTGGTACCATACCGGTATCACATCACATCCAATGAGAGGAGACTTGCTGGCTGAAGACCGACCAGCCACGACGACGAGCCAGGAATCGATTCCTTTTTCACCTTACCGTAGAAACACTTTTTCTTTAGCTATATTGTTAATAATACACAGTTGTTTTGTGTCAATAATTGCAAGGATCATGTCTCCTTCAAAGAGGCAACGCTGGCTTTTCTTTCAGTGCCTGTGATGCTGCAGTACCAGTACGGTAACAGCTCCTTTTCCAGAAACCACTGCCACCCTTGTTTCCATGTTCCGTTGGCATGGTACAGCTTTCCCTCCCCATGACGTTTGCCCTCCGACCTTCGACAATACTACATGATCATCAGCAGGAAAAGGAGTCTGGCGCTGATCATCATTATGGCTGGCAACGATCAGGAGGAGCAACATGTCTCGTTTGCCTTTGTGTCGTCGTCGCCGTCCGCTTGTACAAGTTGGGCAGCAGCGTCATCGACGGTCGGATGTCCCACCACGAAAGCAGGCTCGTTTGCCATGGTGGTGGTTGGTGAAGAGGTACCGGTACCGGTATACTGATGTGTTCTGAGCCAATGGATTGACTAGCTAGAAGATACAGTACCTACCTCCTGGTCTTGTTGTGCGGTACCAATGGTAGTATCGGTAGTGTTGCTGCAACAAGACAAACAAGGGAAGGGGATCTTTCAGAAGTGATTTTCGGGGAGACATATACGTTAAGGAGCGAGGGGGGCTGAGCTAGGCAGAGCGGTGGGATCGATAGTGGTTACCAGGTACCGGTAGTACCGGTACTTGGAGAGCGGGGGGAGGACAGGAGCAGGGCAAAAGGGAGCTAGGGGGGGGGAGAGCATTGAGCAAAAGGAGGAAGTTGAGGGGAAGTCGAGAGGGAGTAAAAGGGGGAAGTATTAGACTAGCTGTGATCACACTGCAAATGTCCTGACTAGTACTACGATTTTCTTCGATAGTGCCAGTGGGATTGGGAAGGGACAGGCCAGCTGCTTTAGCTGGAGCGTTCCTCAATCGTGCATGAAACCGACCCTAAAATAGGGTCGGATTTAGGGTCGGATTCCCTTTAGGGTCGGGTTTCGAAACCGACCCTAAAAATAGGGACGTTTTCTGAAAAATAGGGACGGTTTCTGAAAAAACGTCCCTAATTTAGGGTCGGGTTTCGTTTTAGGGTTCGGTTTGAAAAACGTCCCTAAATAGAAACGGGACTGCCTGGTAAATACATTGAAAACGCACCAATATTAGGGTCGGGTTTCGAAACCGACCCTAAAAATAGGGACGTTTTCTGAAAAATAGGGACAGTTTCTGAAAAAACGTCCCTAATTTAGGGACGGGTTTAGATTTAGGGTCGGGTTTCGAAACCGTCCCGATATTTAGGGTCGGATTCCCCCAAACCGACCCTAAATTAGGGTCGGATTTAAAGTCATGCACGATTGAGGAACGCTCCTGGCAAGCTGGTGAGTTGGCGGGTGGGAAGCTCCGAAGGAGCAACCCCAAAAAGTGCTGGGAGGAAGGTGTTGGCGATAGCGGCCTCAATGGCCGCAAAAGAATCGACAGAGCACCTTGTCACTCGTTGCACAAACTGCCATTTGTGCTGCAGAGACTTCTGCAGGCCACAGTAAGCAATGGTACAGTGTGTACGAGTACCAGTGCGTGTACTGTACCGGACGATGAGATTATGCCATAGGAGCCATATTATGGGTGCGGCGCAGCTGTGCTGGCTCAGTCTGGTGGAAAGATCGCTGCTGCATCTGTACACTCTTTCAGTACAATGAGCTGTGTCACCATCAGACAAGATAGGAAAGCTGTAGAGGACATAGAGTTCTCTGCAAGGATTGATGATGCAGTTCCTCAGCCATGACCTATCTAGAAAGATAGCTGGTATATACCAGCCAAAGAGATGCATGGATCTGTATCCTGCATGGCTGGATGAGTTTCACGCAAAATCAGAGTTTGTGTTAAATATATTAAAGAAGTAATGAAGAAGTAGTTGACCAGATACAGACCCAACAGCACAAGAGAAGCCTGAGTAGACAAGACTTATGGCCAGTGCCAGGGTATTGAGCATTAGACTGTTCAATCATTGCTTCAACAGTGATTGAATAGCATTGGCTGCCACCCTTGTGGCTGGCCTGTTCAGCGCCAAGTGAAGGAATCTCCAACCAAACAAGCCCACCAGCCTGTCAA